TTTTTTTTTTTTTTTTTTTTTTTTTTTTTTTTTTTTTTTTTTTTTGACTCCTGCAAGTTTCGGTTTTCATCCTTCAAGAGAAAGATACGGATTGCAAAGCTCTTCCCATACCGTGGATGCCACGGAGTGTGTTTTGGGGAGTTGCTGAGTCAGATAGAAGCAGAATGGCTTCCTAAGGTTGACTGGATATTAAGCTTCTCCCCTTGAACAGAGTAAAGCCTCTGAGGGCAAGGTCAGCTGCAGAAAGAGGTGCTGTAGCAGAGCCTGCAAGTTTAGAGGGACATGATCTCAGTAGGATCATGGCACTGGATGGCTATAGGGCTGGAAGTGGTTTTTCACAGGTCTGTGTGGTACTTATATGAAGTAAAGAGCAGTATTAACTTGGATGTGAGGGCTAAATGGCACTGGCATCCCGGACAAAGATGTGGAGTTGCCTGGAGGAGGTGTGCTGGTGTCTGAGAAAAGCGTGGTACATATCAGAATCAGAGCTGTCTGTAAGGTGCTTTGGGATACCTCTGAACAGTACCAGCAGAAGCGACAGTCTCCATCCTGGATCATCCCACGTTCACTCCTTGAAGGGTGATTGTAACCTGGTCCTACACAGCACAGAACTATTACAAAAACACAGTACTCCACCTGCTATTCTTAACCCAGTCAGTCTCTCCGTTCAAGAAGTTTGTGTGTTCCAATAAAAACAACCTAGCTGTGCACTTTTCTGTAGCTTTTGCTGAGAACTCTTCCCAGGTTGGCACCTGAATGCCTTACTCTCAGCAGTCAGAGGCTTGCTTGCTCTGTGTGCAGGTTATTGCCATAGAATAGTTAGGACCTACAGCTTCTTTCCTTCCCCATTAAATAGTGGCCTTGTTCAGTATATTTCTTTTTAAAAATTGCTTACTGTTGGAAGCAATGAAGCACATTCTGGGGTTTTGATGGCTGGGGACTCTGGTGATGGTTCCATATAAGATGGGATCTTACTATTTGCTGTATTCTTAACTTCTGCTAATAAAAGAACCAAATGAATTACTGTCTAGTTTGGGTCTTTCTGTGCTCTGTGTGTGAGGGAAGGTGTTAGGTGTGTCTGATGCTACCACTGTGTGAAGTTGCTTGTCATAAGAATTCCCCTGATGTACATTTATTCCAGACTGGCAGAGAATGATAAGCCTGGGACAGTCTGCTCAGTTTTCACCTCTGCCATATTTTAAAAGTAATGTGAAGAACAAAGTGGGATTGGTGGATTGGTGTTACTGCTAAGTTTGGTCTTTAATTTTGGAGAGCTCTGCTAAACCTATGCTGTAGAGTGAGGGCATAAAGCAGCAGTGTGGTCTTGGGGCTGGCTATCCTCAGTGAGGACTCTCCAGGCCTTCAAAGCTGGGCTAGCTATTATTTCAAAAATTACCTTTTTTTTTTTAAGTACAAATTTTTAGTGCCTCAGTTTTCCAGTTCCTGGTCTTGCAGGTTTTGGAACACTGTCCCCTTCCTCATTCCAGGGTTTAAAAGGGCTCTCACTTACCCCTGTGACTTGGGTGCCACACGACAACAGGCTGGCCAGGTTGACTGGCCAGAGAACGGGTGAAGTGTGTTCAAAGGAGCAGAAACTGAGATTTACGGACAGCACTGGAAAGCCAAAGGTGAAGAAGCACTGGGAGATGAGCATTTGCAAGGAGAAAAATGAGCAAGAGGGACCAAGGATGCAAAGAGGAAGAGCTGGGCGGGGGGAAGAGGGTGAATGCTGGAGACCCTGCTTGTTGTGGGAAAATTTTAGGTGAGTTGAGATTGAAAAGAAGCTGAGGAAGCCTGGATTTAAATTCTTCGTGTAAAGGAAAGGCCTCCTATCCTGCACCCCTGTAAAGGATTGACTATCTTCTGGTATGCAGGCTTAAGGACTGGCAGGAGTGGGAAGGAGTGGGTTTTGGCTGGGAAGGGACTGACCAGAACATCCCTGTGCCAGACTGCCTTCTGCTCTGTCATCGCTGCTCCTCAGCTGTCAGCAAACATCTGGGAACTGCCTGGGCAAGATACGCCTAATCCTCCTCTTGTGTTGGCTCACACCAAACTGAGCTGTGGGCTTTGTGTTTTGTAGTGACATTGTGAGAGGGACAGCCCTTGTAAATGACCTCGACAGCTTGAAGTCTCAGGATGGAGTAGTATTGGTTTATTTATTTTTTTTTAATGAAAAACAAATTCAAGGAATGGTGGAGAATGTTGGCATCACATTTCACACAAATGTCACTAAAACTAGCTTCCACATTTGAATATGAATTAGGCTTATTCTGTTTTCAGAAAGCAGAGTGATACTTAAAAGTCTTCTGAGTAGGCTAAAATTGTGTGTCCTGCCTCCTCTGTGTAGTTGTGGTCATGCTCTGCCCCCTCCCAAGAATCGCTTGCTTCATTCGTTGCTAGGTATCCTGAGTGTGGATTTAAGCGCTGCAATCAAGGTGAGTGTCTAAGGCCATTGCCTAACTTTTTAAGGAGCTGGTAGTAAATGAAGCATATGATTAGGATAGAGGAGCTGAATTCAGTTTAGTTGAAGCTATTTGAGGCTTCCCTGCAAAATTGAGGGTTTTTTACCTTCTTTTTCACCCTTGCCTCCTGTGTGGCATCAAAGCAACTTGTTTGAACTAAACCTTCCTGCTGCTCACTGCTTCTATATCTGTGTGGGTTGCCCAAGCTGAAATTCTTCAGCCTGATTTCCAGGAGTGCTGAGCACTGATGTGGTTTCAGTGAAGTTTCTTAAAAAGATCAGCTCCTTGGAGAGGATGTGTGTTAATTCCTAAGTGTGTATTGCCCTGGAAGAGGAAATACTGGGCTTGAGCTCACGGCAGCATCGAGCGTGTCCCACCTGATCATCTTCAGCTATTTTAACAATGAACAAAATAGGAAAAATGCTGGAGGAAACTGCCAAACATCATGTTGCTGCAAGTGGATTGCAGTGTAACCAGTTCCTTGTTCACTGCCGGGAAGGTAAGTTCCTTGGGGAGGGATGGTGGGATGTGAGCCCCGTGTGTGCAGGGGGATGGGTTTCCAGCTTGGTCTTATCGTAGAATCACAGAATGGCTTGGGTTGCAAGGGACCTTAAAGATCATCTGATTCCAACCGCCCTGCCATAAGCAAGGACACTTTCTGCCAGACCAGGCTGCTCAAAGCCCCATCCAGCCTGGGCTTGAACACCTTCAGGGATGGGGCATCCAGAGCTTCTCTGGGACACCTGTGCCAGTGTCTCGCCACGCTCATAGTAAAGAAATTTTCTGGTATTTCCAGGAGCTTCACCTTCACCTTTCTCTAGTAAAATTCATGGTTAAACAGCTGAGGTATTCTGTTTGTGAGCTGGGAGATGCTTGCACTGGAGATGCACCACGATTCTGTTCTGTTAGCAGCCTCATCTCTGTAGTGGTACAACAGGGCACGGAGACACTTCACAGTTGGCGTAAAATCTGAACCAGTCTAGTTGTAAATGAGATGGGAAAATCATTGGCCTGGCTGGGTTCCCAGAGCAATGGTTGTGTTAACCTTTACAGAGGCAAATGACACCCCAGCCACTTCCAGTAGCTGTCTTTGCTTTCACCTCCAACCGTGCCGAACCTGTGCCTGTCGATTGGGGTTTTTTGGCATGGCTGGAGCCAAGCTCCCCCGGGCTGCAGGAGCTGTTCCCTGGCTGAGGCCAGGCTGTGGGGCCATAGTCGGCCAGAGCTGCTCGCTGTGGCACAGGCAGACTGGGAATGTGGGGTGGCATCTGCTGCTGGTACAGGAAGCCATCCCCCCTGGGAGGG